TGTAGAATCGCATGATTGTCCGTGCGTGCGTGCGTGCGTGTGTGCGTGTGACATGTTGGAATTTTTTTTTAAACAAGTGGATAACACGAGTTATCAAAACTATTGTCTGGTGATGAGGACCCCTCTGAAACTGAACACAAATTAATTCGACAGTTTAATTACACAGCCTAATTAACCCTTAATCATCTTTGTCAGGTCAGAGTCCATGGAGTTATCAGATTATAACGTAGACTGGCTCCAGACGTCCCTGGCTGCCGTTGATTCTCACGTATTCTCATTTTTTATGGAGTCAGTCTAGTCATAACTCACAGGTTTTCCACATTTATAACGAATAAGCATTACCGTTAATTAACATGTCCAATTAATCACACCAGATGCAAATAGTTGCCAGAAGAGTTGAAGAAGTGAAGTTAGAAGAAGTGGCCCCTGCTTCCTGTTCATGAAAACAGATATACTCTCTGTGTGTGTTGGCAACAGGCCAGAAACGTTTTGGCAGTAGACTCGGTGTTGTCGACCGTGCCCGCGACCAGTGCCTCCACCTATTAGCGGAGGCGTGCACTAAACGTGTGTTTTCACCGTCGACAGGCACTGGCTGACGCTGCCGCGTGCGCCGCACCTCAAGCTGTCTCTGAGTAGCACCTCTCTACAGCCGCTCCACCTATAGCGTTGCCGGGGCGCCCCTGGCGGCGCCGGTGCCGCGCGTGTGCGTCCGGGGTACAGTGAGTTGTTATTGCATTCGCGCGGTCAGGGCGCACAGCCGAGGCAGGGGTAGGTGCGCATCCGCACGGAGATTTCACTTCCGCACGCGCATTTCGTTCTTTCGTCGTTCGTTCGTTTTTGCTTTCTTTGCGGGAGCGAGATAACGTTTAGTTGGACTCTCCTCTCTTATCTCCTTACTCACACAGAGCGCGGCGTGAGCGCGGGTTTCTAGCTCCTCCCCTCCACTTCTCACCCGTGTGCTAGAAATGCCGCTAAGCCTAACAGGTCCAATTACTCACTGAAGTGGAATGCGATTGCCGGGATTCCCCAATGGTTGCGAACGTAAACTTCCAAACTCGGTTTCGATATTCGAGTTAATAACGTTCATCAGTTGGGGTGTTTGTGCTCCCAACTCCAATATTTGTAATTAGAGTGTAATTAAATTCGAGGTGTTCGTAACGTCCGATGTATGAAATGCCGGATGTATGTTCGTACTTCCAACTGTTTCTAACTGTGGATGTTCGTAGCTCCACATGTTCATAATATTGGATGTTTGTAACTTCACATGTTCATAACATTGGATGTTCGTAACTCCATATGTTCATGACATTGGATGTTCATAACTCCACATGTTCATAATATTGGATGTTCATAACTTCAAATGTTCATAACATTGGATGTTCGTAACTCCACGGTGCTTGCAGGTTCGGAAAGTCGCTCAAGAAGGCCGACACGAAGCTATGGCTTTCTCGACGCCGAGTCCTGATTGGTGGAGAGGGAAAAGCGAAGACACGCGGCGTGCGATTCCGCGAGCGAGTATCGCTACGGATCGACGCGGGAGGGACGGGACGCAGCGCGGCATGTGTTCGGCTTACTACGCAAGCGAAGACAAGTCGTCACTGTCCCGCGGCGATCACAAGAAAGAGAGAGAGAGAGAGAGAG